AGCCCACACTTCTTGAGCTTCCCTAGGAGGATGTTATAGGAGGCAGTGTCAAAACCCTTGCTGAAGTCTAGGTAGACAACATCCACTGCTCTCCCCTCATCCACCCACCCGGTCATGCCATCTTAGAAGGCTGTTGGATTGGTCAGGCATGATTTCCCCTTGTTGATTCCAAGTTGACTAGACCTGATAACCTTCTTTTCCTCCATGTGCTTAGAGGTGACATCCAGAATGAGCTGCTCCATCACCCTTCCTGGGATGGAGGTGAGGCTGACTGGCCTGTAGTTCCCTGGGTCCTCCTTCTTGCCCTTTTTGAACACTGGAGTGACACTGGCTTTCCTGCAGTCCTCAGGCACTTCTCCTTTTCTTCAGGACCTCTCAAAGATGATGGAGAGTGGCTCAGCAATGACATCTGCCAACTCCCTCAGCACTCGTGGGTGCGTTCCATCAGGTCCCATGGATTTGTGGATGTCCAGATTGCTTAAGTGATCTCTCACACAGTCCTCCTTGATCAAGGGAAGATCATCCTTTCTGCAGGCTTTCTTTCTTACCTCCAGGGACTGGGATTCCTGAGGGCCAGCCTTAGCAGGGAAGACTGAAGCAAAGAAGGCATTCAGTTACTCCACCTTCTCTGCATCCTCCATCACCAGAGCACCCACCTTGTTCAGCAGCAGCCCCTCATTTTCCTTAGTCTTCTGTTTGCTATTGATGTACTCGAAGAAACTCTTCTTGTTGTCTTTGACATCCCTTGCCCGATTTAATTCCAGGTGCACCTTAACCTTCCTCTTTGCTTCCCTGCATGCTCTGACAACATTGCTGCATTCTTCCTAAGTGGCCTGTTCCTCTTTCCACATTCCGTAGACCTTTCTCTTCTGTTTGAGTTTTCATAGAAGTTCCTTGCTCATCTGTGCAAGTTTCCTACCTCATTTGCTTGATTTCTTACTCAGGGGGATGCACTAATGTTGAGCATGAAGGAAGTGATGTTTAAATAGCAACCAGCTCTCTTGGATCCCCCTACCTTCTTGAGCTCTAACCCATGGGATTCCTCCAAGTAGGTCCTTGAAGAGGCCAAAGTTAGCTCTCCTGAAGTCCAAGGCTGTGGTCCTACTTAGTGCCCTGCTTCCTCCACGCAGGAATCTGAACTCCACCATCTCATGGTCACTGCAGCCAAGGCTGCCCCCATCCTTCATATCCTCAACCAGTCCTTGTTTGTTAGTACAAGGTCCAGCAGAGCGCTTCTCCTAGTTGGCTCCTCCACCACCTGTGTCAAAAAGTTGTCATCACTGCTCTGCAGGAACCTCCTGGACCGTGTGTGCCTTGCTGTGTGGTCTTCCCAGCAGATATTATGTTTCTTTTGAGTGATCACTGAGCTCTTTGAAATGCTCTGTAGTGAATCAGGCTGAGAGCAATAAATTCTGTTGTTATAATGCAGTAGATTCTCCTTGTTGACGGTATAATGACTGATATGTCCCTGTTATGCTTTTTTTATTGAATAGTAATGCAAAAAGCCTGGAGAGAGAGAAACCCTCAAGCCCGAATTTCTGCAGCTCATGAAGCTTTGGAATTGAATGAGTGAGTGACAACAACATTAACACTTTTTTCCTGTCATTTAAAAATCCACTTGATGATAGCTGAAGGCAGGGGGTTTGCTACAGTAATTTTTAACCGTGATTACAGGCCTGTCACAGGAAGGCCTACAATGGGAGGAAGAAAGCACGGTTGCATGTTGTGCTAGCCATGCAGAAGATCCTTAGGGCAGTGATGACAATGGGAGTCTTCCCATTGATGTCAGCAGGCTTTGGATCAGCATAGCGAAGTGTTAATTAAGTTGTGTTCTGACGAGCATATGAAATATGCATTTATGGGATGGAAAGTTCCCTTTTAGATTTGTCAGTCATCCTGAACAGAGGCAAGAAAGAAGGGACTCATAAACACCTTCTGAAATATTAATTTCATAGTGTGAGAGAATATGACATAATTTTCTGGGACGTTTGGTCTTTGAGTCCATTATTTATTTTCTCAATGAGGAGTGTGGTATTCTGAGACCCCACAATAAACTCAGTGCTGTGATGCTTTACTGGCGTGACAAACTGTAAATGTTGCCAAAGTGCATAAAGCAGCGAGAGACCTTTAGGATGCTGTCAGAGATCACTGCATTCTAGAATTCCATAAACTGGTGCCTTATGGATTGTCCTTCATGTGTTTCATCATAAGGAGAAAAAGAAATTTTTGTTCCCGGACAGCAGTTTAACTGAGAGAGCAACGGCACATTGCTGGCTCATGGTCAACTTGGTGTCCACCAGGACCCCAAATCCTTTTCTGCCAAGCTGCTTTCCAGCTGGGTGGGCCACAGTACTGGTGCCTGGATGCTTGTTTTCACCCAGACCTGTTGTTGCCTGTTCTTCAGCTGATGACTTTGTGAAGCACAGCTAGAGGCAGCTGCAGCCCAATTCTGTTTCTGTATAAAGAAGAATTTTATCAGCGCTGTGCTTTGTGTTGGAAAGAAGTCAACAGGCTAGATCCCACCGAAGTTCAGCTGCTAAAAATGTGGCTGTTGGGTTTAAAGTAGTTGCCTGGGCTCACTCTAGTCAGTGAGAGAGTCACCTCCGTTCAGCAATTCACCCTATTCTTAGACAGATGTTTGCACGTGTGAAAGGAATGGCTTTGTGAAGATACTTCGTGATGGAGGTGGAGGGGCACAGGTAGTTATAAGATCTCAACTAGACGGCTAAAAGCTGGACGAGGTGACTCCCACCATGCATTTCACCTTTCTGTGTATTCCTAAAGCTGCTTTTCTCTTTTGGGATTTTTGTTTCGGGTTGTTGTTGTTGTTTTTTAATCTCTACAAATACATTGATAATCTGTTCTTTGCATACGGCAAATGTTATAGGTCTATTGATTTTTCTCATACCATTACAGTAGTAGAGTCACGTTATCTTAAAACAACAGAACATAAAACTAGTCTTGGTTTCCAGAAGAAGTTTTAGTGATGTAGGCCATGAGTGCTTAGTGAGACAGTGCTTTCCTTTCTGGAGAAGCTGTCAGTAGGTTTACTCAAGTGACTGAGTGATACAGTACCTACAAATGAGAGTCGTGATCTGGTAGCCAGAATATTTATTCATCAGAATAGTTCATCAGAAAGATACATGGACAAAACTCCACTGCCTCTGTATTTGGTACATCCTTGCCAGTGTGCGTGTCGTTGTATAGCTGTTACTTCATGCAACTTTCTCGTGGTTTTTCCTCTTGACATTTATGCAGGTGTGCTACTGCCTATATTCTCTTGGCTGAAGAGGAAGCAACAACAATTGTAGAAGCAGAGAAACTGTTCAAGCAGGCTCTGAAAGCTGGAGAGGGCTGTTACAGGCGCAGTCAGCAGTTACAGCACCATGGTGCCCAGTACGAAGCCCAACACAGTAAGTTTCTTTGGAGGGAATAGCCATTTCTAAAGGGAGAGGAGTTCCAAGGGAGTTCTTTGGGGGGTTTTGTGGGTATTTTTTCCCTCTTGGAACTATGTTTCCAGTATTTAACACTGGCTAGAATATAGCGCTGAAGCCAGACTATTCTGTTTCAGTGTTTTTACTTGATTCTGTTGCTGAGTTGGAAATGCTTAGGTTACAGATGCACATTTTCTTCATCGTGGCAGAAAATATGGTAGAATGTACTTAACAGAAAAGAAAAGGTAGCAGAGCCAGAAGAGATCTGATGTTCAGAAAATGCTGGACACTGTTTTAGGAAGTTACACTGAAGTGCCCTTAGCCATTTTGAAAACAAGGGCTCATGTTGTGAAAAGGCGGTAAAGAATGATGGAAACAGGAGTGAAGTGATGCTTTGCCAGCTTTTTTCCATCAGCTGTGAGGGTAAATATGTACACCACATTGTTCTGTATAAAAGTTAATGACACCCATTTGTCAGTGTGACATTTGAAAAGTTAGTTGCATAAATTAAGAAAGGTCACAGAAACATAAAAATTAAGAACTGGAATAATACTGTGCTCTAATTAAAAGTCTAGTTTTTTGTGGGTTTTTTTTTTTTAATTTTGAATAAGCAGATTCAGCTGCTGTGGTGATATTTGTTAGATGCTTCTTAAACCTAAGAAAATACACAAGGGTTCACAGGCGGCAAATGAATAGATAGATAAATAAGGCAAACAGTCTAGGTTATTTCTAGTCTATAGTGGATACCTCAGGCAAAAATAATAGCAATTACTTACGTAAGTACTAGTGCTAACATACTTTGGGCATCTTCACATTTCTCAGGACCTAAATTCACAGCCTCTGGCTATCTCACATGACTTAAAGATTGCTGATAAAAATTGTGCATAGTGAAATTGTCTGTGATCTCTGGTTTCAAAAGTGTACACAAGTCTATACCTGAAAACCTGAGGTTTTATGAAGCTTTGGGGTACTATTCTAAATGTCTGTTGGTTATAAAATGGTATTTAGGATGATTTGCTTATTTTTGGAGAAAACAGAAGTATATAGCAGCTGAGCCCTTGAAGCTGTTTTCAGGCTGTAGCAGGCTTGTGGTTGTCTGTGAAACCTTAATTTGTGCACTCAATCCATCCTGAGCACAGAAAATGACAGCAATTCTATGAAAAATACAGAGTAAGAGTAATTAAAACACTGTCACGATGCTTATGTCCAAGATAACCTGGTTAAGTTTGTGCAGGCAAATAGAAGTATGCTATTTCTGTAGCCTGTGTGTGCTAGATGGCTACTACTAATTTATTGAACAACAGCATATTGCTTTATATTTCTGTTTATTCATGTCTTCCATCTCCTTCATACAGTATTTTATGTTGGACTGTGAATTTTAAGAGTAAATAATGACTGTGAGTACCCAGTTTAACTTCTTTCAAAAGGTGCTAGTTTATAGAAAGTGTGGTCAATCTTCTTTTTAAAGTGACTCATGTTAGTCACCCCAAATCATTAGTCACCTCAGAAAATTATGGACTGAAAGGTTATCTTGCTTTCATAGCAAGTCAATGCCGTTTGACGATTCCTTCTGAAAAGAAGCTTGGCCTGAAACATATACCTCTTAATTACACTACATAAACGTGTTGAAACAGATGTAGCTAATAAATTGTTTATTAGCTACATCTTAGGATTAAATATATAGGAATCAGTACTGAGATAAGGAATTACATTATACAGAATACAGCGAAAGAAATTCCTGCCTTACTTATTTTTTCTTCTAAAGTCAGACCTTTCAATATGTCTGAAATTTGTAATCACAGCTTTAAAACAATTTGTAGGTACTTGGAATGTTTTCAGTGTACAGCTTGTTCTTATTGTGAAAGACTGGAAAATGTTAGGAACAGACTGAAATCTTTACAGACTGCATGCTATGCACAAAGATCATGTGTAGCAGGTGTCTTGTATTTTCACGATATGGTAATTTTGTAGATGATTAGCTGTCCTCTCATTTCCTGTTGGTCCAGAAACAGGTTGAGAGTTCACATTGGGATTGTAGGGAAGAGAATGAGAAATGAAACAAGAAAGAATTCTCCAAGAGAATAATTATTGCAGCTGTTTAGTTTCTGTCATCTTTGCTGTTAGGGCATCTTCGGCATGTAGGACTGTCATATCTGAAACATGTAAATTTGCCATCCACAGTTAGCAGTGTGAGGAATTTGAAGGTGATAACTGGATAACAAGTAAAGGCTCTCTGTAAACTGAAAGTTCAGGGTATGCTGCTTTTCTTCTAATCATTGAGGGAAAAGACTGTTAGAGGGTGAGGATTTGTTTCGCTGCATCACCTGTTAACAAGCATCTACATCATAACTTACAAAAGAGGCAGGATATAACGTGCATTTTCATGGATGTTCTTGTCTTAACCACATATGTGATTTGATAACTAATTTTAATGCTCTGTGTGTGACCACCGAGTTTTTGCCAATGTTAATTTCATAGGGGTTTCCCTTGCCTCAGTTGATTACTTGATGGTCTATACCCTGTAGCGTTCCCTGTACCTTCAGATCTGCTTATATTTCATAGGTGTAAGGGCAACCCATAGGTCCTTATTTATACCACTGTATATCTGGAGTAATTCCACTGATTTCAGTGAGGTTATACCACATCTAAATCAGCAGAATTTGGTAATTTTTTATCAGAATTATTGTGAAAGCATTGATGATAGCAAGTAACAAAAAATGGCACAAAAACTGTTTCCTTTTGTGTTGGAATATTAAGTGAACCTTTGTTTTATCTTTTTTATCTTAATGCTGTTTCTTTTTCCTCTTATACAGGAAGGGACACCAATGTGTTAGTTTATATTAAGAGGAGGCTGGCAATGTGTGCAAGAAAGCTGGGAAGGACCAGGGAAGCGGTGAAAATGATGAGAGATGTGAGTTTGGATTTGTTTCGCATGTGATACTTAGATAATAGTAGTGTAGAAGTGATACACATTTGCTTATGAGTTAGCATCCATTCCTACTGCATGCAGCACTGCTGGTAGTCATTTTGTATGTGTAATGAACATAAAGATTAAGTTAAGAGATCATTTACAAGGTTACAAAAGCAACACTCTGAAGTCACAAAATACCAGATGGACTGTTGCCCATACAGACTGAATTTCCCATCCTGGTACACGTGCAATAGAGTGCAGTCTTTAATTATTTAATCATGAAGTTACGTAACATTTTTTCTGAAGCATGTAATGAATGCCGCTAACTTAAACAGGTCTGAAGTATTCTGTTTGCTCCTTGCGAAGCTGCAGTTTGGCTCTGCATTGTTTATGTCACACTGTTCAGACCTGAGGACAGTGTTACTTATTCATGCAAAACCTATTACTGAGGAGTCAAAACCAAGTAATTAATCAATAATGAACTGATTTCCCTCTGAGATGGGGGATGATTATAATCCTGTTTTGTAGGCAGGGGAGCTACCAACGGTAGTCATAAGTCAGTAAACTGCAAAGCTACAAATTGAGAAACACCGAACAGTAGCTGTTCTGGTGATGGCAGAATGGCAGAAGGGGCAGCTGTCTGCATAAGGCAGTGTATATGTTTTGAGTATGTAAAATGCTCAAGTTTAGAGATAGCTGTGAATGCCCAGCATTTCTTCAAATGACTTCCCCTGGTTGCAGATTAGGAACACAATTCTTTGAGGAGGTAACAAGGTAGCAAGTCTGTGACAGAAGAAGGAATGGAGCCTTAGAGCTCTGGGCAGGTGATGGTAAAGCAGCTTACCGGTTTCCTGTGTTTGCTGTTTTCTCCTTTCTTAGGCTTTGTTTTCCAGCTCGCACAAAAGTGAGGTAGAGATGAATCCGGCAAGATACAGGGTTCTGCAAGTTAAGCTGAATGACATAAATTTTAAATGCACAAAATGGAATTCCAGACCAGAATGAAGCACCTATAAAGTGTGATTTAGGCAGCTCAGATGAATGGTCCCAAAACCTGCCTAGTGAAAAGGGAAGTTCTCGCTGCTAGTCAGTGGGAATTTTAATGTAAAAAGGCAAGTGACTTTCTCTGGAGCTTAGGCACTTGCATCAACAGCAGTATCGCAGGTATGCCTGCCACGTTGGAATCCAGCACCCAGCATCTTCTCCTGGAACTGGGGTGCTCATGAATATTTTTTGAAAATACTGAGCAGAATTCATCATAATGATGCAGGTCCTCATTCTAAATAATTTACCGGGTGGCAAGGGGTGAGTAACTTTGTTGCTTTGTCTCTAGCTGGGGATTTTCAAGCACACAACTCTCACTCCCCAGAATCACTAGGCTCCCAGACAGAGGTGTTGGGAAAGAACTTGTCAAAAACCCAGCCATTGTATGGCTAGGAGTGTGAGAAAGAGGGACAAGGAAGAACAACCTGGTTTTGCAGTCTTGCGGTCAGTTGGGAGAATGTTGATTTCAAAAATGTTGTTTTCAGTCCAGTCAGCTCCACTGATTCATCATGAATTTTGTTACACAGGCACTCTGGGACAAATACTGAAATATTTGAGGACAAACATTGGAATTCTAAGTTCTGGCATTAATACACAAGAAAGATAAAATTTGGATTTCACATTCAAATGTCACACATCGTAATTATGTCAATTTCTGGAGCTTACTATGGGATGCTGAATGCGTTTTGAGATTTGTAGGGCTATGTGGAACAGATACTCTGTGAAGCCGCCTTCTTCTGGTGTCAATTTGTATGGTTAATTGTGTATGCAGACCACTGGATTCAGGGACTTCAGTGGTCCATCTAGTCCTAGGTTTCTTATGCAAAATAAGACCCAGAATGCTTTGGTTATAATGAAAGGCTTATTCTGTCACTAGAGAGAAAATTGTGTGTGGTTGAAGTTAAGTACAGTGTGGATCTTGAAAGGCAGCAATGACAGAGACACAAAGTCATCCTTTTGTTAGACACTTGAAGGACGAAAAACACTCTCATCAGTAGGAACGTTCTGCTAAAATGAAACGACTGGATGCAAGACAAAGGAGATGTAAAGATAGAATTTCAGCATCATAGAATCATAGAAAGTTTTGGGTTGGAAGGGACCCCTAGAGGTCATCTAGTCCATCTCCCCCGCAGTGAGCAGGGACACCACTAACTAGATCAGGTTGCTCAGAGCCCTGTCCAACCTGGTCTTGAATGTTTCCAGGGATGGGGCCTCCGCTACCTCTCTGGGCAACCCATTCCAGTGTTTCACCACCCTCATTGTAAAGAATTTCTTCCTTATATCCAGCCTAAACCTACCCTGTTTTAGTTTAAAACCATTACCCCTCATCCTGTCACTGCTGTCTCTGCTAAAAAGATTGTCCCCATCTTTCCTATAGGCTATAGAAACAAATACATCTTTAAAATAATAAAATAGCTTAGGCTGGAAGGGATCTCTGGAAGTGTATTTAAAATACACGCTTCTCTTGATGCAGCCCAGGACACGGTTGGCCCTCTGGGCTGCCAGCGCGCACATTGCCGGCTCATGTCCAGCCTTTCGTCTATCAGTACCCCCAAGTCCCTCTCAGCAGGGCTGCTCTCGACCCTTTCATCTCCCAGCCTGTATTGACACCGGGGATTACCCCGACCCAGGTGTAGGACCTTGCACTTGGCCTTGTTGAACCTCATGAGGTTCACACAGGCCCACCTCTCCAGCTTGTCCAGCTTCTAGAAATTCAACTCGGATCAATGCATTCTGTATTTTTCCACATACAGACACTGAGCCAAATCCTCAGAACTGGATTTACATGCCTCTAGAGCTCTTCGTTGTGAGCAGGCAGAGCTGAGAATTAGCAGGTCACTACATGAAATATAAAAGCAGCAGTATCTGTAGGTCACAACTGCAATACACTGGGAGCAAGAGTAGGGTCAAGTTAGCTTCGCAGATGCTTCTCCTAGACTGACTTGGAGCTACTTTTTTCTGATGAATGCATATCCTCCATTTCTTCATAGAAGACATAAATTATATACTTATGAAGAAGTGTGAAGAACATGAATGTGTCGTTGAAGGTTTCTATGTGATTGATGAGGGAGGAGATGAATTTATTCACCCTAAAAAGAACATGAAGAATATGTTGGCTGGGGACTGCTGAATCTAGCATCAGGGGACAGAGGGCGGAGGCTCTGTTTGTGTTTGAAAGATTGAAAACAGATTTCTCAAGACATGGAACATGATGGAAATGAAGTGTTAAGAGGTTCATGACACCATCTGGGAAATACGATTGGGATGTAGTGAGTCTTTGCCACTTTGAAAAAATAAAATATTTGAGAGTGTTTAATTCATTGCATGTATGAGGCCATCTTGAGGACATTACTGATGGATTAGATTATCTTATTTGAATTTCGTAGAAGAAAAGATTGAGATCATGCTTAAAACACCTTCATGGAAAGAAAATGAGTTGTTGGTGACTTAAATAAGATTTTGATTTTATGATTATATACGCTGCTGATAGGAAAATCATATTCTTTAATATTATATTGAAGATATTTAAAACCATTTTTAAAAAACTGTAAAACCAGTGGTTTTTTAATCTAAAAACATTGGGTAGGAATTTGTGTTGCTTCTGTGACTGATTTTCGGATAGCATTTTGTTGCTGGCTTTGCTGCTTGGATGTCATTTATTTAGCGGAGTTGAATTAATGAGAATTATGAACCTGTAATTTTCATGAAAGTATGTAATTGAATTGTACATAGGTGTTGGTTGTGCTTGTGTTTCTGATGATAATTATTTACTATATTTTGCTATAGAAACCAGCAGCTGTCACTGTTTGTATATATTGAGTTAACTTATGATCTCATTTTGATTAGTGTATTGTTGGAATAACTCCAGTCTAGTCAACAGAGTTATTCCAGTTTTATTCCTGTTTTTAACAGAGCATAATATGGTCTGTGAGGGAACTAGATCTCTTTTACTGTGCCTGAAGAGAAAGTGTACAGTGCTGGTTGTTTTATTTGTTGTGCTGATTGTGTTAGCAGGATTTAAACTAGTGGGCTCTAAATGATGTTGGAAAATCTAGTATGTGCAGAGGTGAAAGGCCTTAATGGTGGCTGTGGGGAATCTTCAATATCTCTTCATGTTGAATCTTTATTGTGGACAGTATTGCAAGCCAAGTAGCTATGTGCTGATGAGCAAGGGTAGCCTAGTGAGCAGGGTAGCTGCTCGCTGTCTCCTCTTTGCTGATTCCCTCACCATTACTACGAAAGAAAACAGAAATGTGCTGGATTTGTATTTCATGTTCTGCTTTGATTAAAAACAGAGGATGTGGAGGATATGCAAAGGCGCTTCTCTCTGTACTTTGCGGGCAATTTGCTCTCAGGTAATGGGAATACATAGCTGGGACACTGTACTGCACCTTGAATTATCAAGCGGTGTGAAAGACAGAGCATACTAATCGCTAATACAGATGTTATGATCCCTGGCAACTTAACAAAACAGCTTCTGCAGCTACTGTGCGTCTCCCAAATAAGTGGTGCTTGAGGCAAGGATTAGTGAGTCAGGTTCTTTGGCTTGTGTTACACAGATCAGGTTAAGCTGGCTGCTCTGCCTTGAGTGGGATTCTGGCTTTATTAACATCTGTAGCAGTTATTTAAAGTACCATTTATTAAAATTTGAAGGAAAACTTACTTCTTAGTTAAACGAGACCAAAAGTTATCTCATAAATTTTAGAAGAGTGCTGCTCTTGTGAATGGTGACATTTGCCAGTCTTCACCATAGAGTAGTATCTTCAGTTAATTCAGTTGTTCTGGCACACAAGCACTGCAATAATAGCAAGTGATAAATGCTGATTTTAACATTTCCATATGTCTGTATATTCAAATGTGGTTTGTTCTGTCACAGATTCACACGTTATTCGTAAGTGGGAGGGGTGGGTTGGAACATCCCTGATTTGGATGGGCTCTTAAACGAAATGGAGACTCCT